AAGCATACATCACATAATATCAACCACAAAAATAAAATGGAAATAAATCACAAAAAGAATAAAATAAAAAATAAAGATAAGAGGGCCATCATCTAAACATGATTACATGAAGAGATCAAAGGCAGAGCAAATCCTAACAGTCCTTATAGCTTTCTTATTAGTAGATACTGAAATTACATTAATAAATTAAATAATTTTCCATTTCTTTTAGGAAGACAGAGAAGACAGGTTTACAGTTGGAAAATTTGTATTTGTGAATGTGAAATTTGCTTAGGAAAAAAATTAAATTAATAACAAAACAGATATTTTTGTTTGAGAGGTCGGAGTCATAATACCAAATATAATGTTTTTCATATGTACTGAAAAACCTGGCAAAATCTTACACAAATACACCAATATCATCCCAAAACTTCTGAGTGTAGGGACATGACCAAAATAAGTGTACCACAGTTTCTTCAGAATTCGAACAAAAAGAGCATGTAAGCTCAATGTCAGATTTAAATCTTTGTATAAACTTCTTTACAGGGTAGAACCTGTGTATGAGCTTAAAAGAAATGTCTTTCACTTTGTTTGTGAGAAAGAATTTTTGCTGTAGAGACCAGATTTTTTTCTAATTAAGGTTAACAAACAAATTATTTCAAAAGGAAATCACAGGTGGAACAGAAATCAGACTCTTAAGAAATAAAGATCGTATTTTATCATTTTTAGCTTTCGACTCAGAGAAACAAATTTGACCAACAGGAGTATCACGAGGTTTAGGAAAGGAAGCAGTAGATACTGATGAGTAATTACAGTTTTTAAAAAGCATACATAAACCAGAGGGGATAGCTCCCAAAACTGTAGCAAATTCTTTTGGCCTTATTGGTCCGTTTCCTCTTTGTTTTGCTGCCTCCAGCTAGCACTGTGACGTCGCTGACCCTAGTTACCTGTGGTTGGCCTGGCCGTGCTCACTCAGAAAACAACAGGCCAATCAGAAGAGAGGCTCATGAATATTAATTAGACAGACCAAAATCGACCTGTTCTCAGCAGAGCTCCTGAGAAAGGAGCTGTAAAAATATGTTGAGATGGTTTTTGGTACTTATACCGCAAATATATATTCTTAAGGACATCAAAACCTCAAATAAAACTCCAGAAAGGTGTACAATATGGGACCTTTAAATATGTAAACAGAATTATTGTTGCATTTCAGTCATGTATTTCATTTTGATATTGTTACAGCTGATGTTTCAAACTTGTATAAATGCTTGTAAATTAACATCCTTTTGAAATGGGCTACCATTAAAATATCTGGGGTTAGCATGATAACCATACTTTTATTAAGTAAGGATGCATTAAAATTATTTTTTGGTCTATTTATCAACGAATCCTTAAAATATGTGAATCACAGTTTCTATAAAATTATTAAGCGTCACAGCTGTTTTCAACATTGATAATAATAAATGTTTCTTGGGCACCAGATTTTCATATTAGAATGTTTTTTAAAGGATCATATGACACTGAAGATTGGAGTAATTCACATTTCACAATATTACTGTGTTTTACTGTATTTTTGATCAAATTAATTCCGGTGAGCATACGAGACTTCTTTCAACAACATTAATAAAATCGGTAACACTTTATTTTAAGGTGTCCTTGTTACACATGTTACATGTACTTACTATTATAATAACAATAAATTACGCATAATTACATGCAAGTAACCCTAAGCAAATCCTAATCCTAACCCTAACCATATAGTAAGTACATGTTGTTAATTAATATTACTCAGAACTTAAATGTATAATTACACTGTAACAAGGACCCATTCAAATAAAGTGTAACCAAAAAAATCTTACCGACCCCAAACTTTTGAACGATAGTGTATTAAAAAAGAAAAATTGCTGCCTACTAGGCTATCAGTGCCGACATACTTTTTCATTTTATATACACTGTTGTTCAAAAGTTTGGAGTCAGTACGTTTTTTTTTATGTTAGAAGTGATGAAAGAAGTCTCTTATAACACCATTGCGTTGCGGGTGTCCCGAGTTCGAGTCTTGGCTCGAGGACAATCCCACCCCCCTCTCTCTCCAACTTCGCTTCCTGTCTACTCTACACTATCTTATCTTAATAAAGGCAAAATGGCAAAAAAAAAGTGCAACATTATACAGGTTTGCCAGAATGCATTGTTTTTAATACATTCTTACCTAGCATCATTTCAGTGTACTTGTTCCTAACTAGCTATATGGTTACATTTCAATCCCTTGCAGTCAAGAGAACTCCAGTGACTCCATGACATCATCAGCCAAATTGGATTCAGGAAAACCTCGCCAAAATGGCGAGCACTCCGATACTATGCCCCGCAGCTCAGCGTCTCAGGAATCAGCCAATGGTGTGAAGCCAGGTGCGGGCAAGCAAGAAGGAGCTCTGATCGCTGAGCACAAAGTCCAGGTGAGATAATCGCTAGAATACTAGCATAAAATAACTGATTAGATAATGCTGCTACTTCCAGTTTAAAAACATCTCTTCTGCTCTCCTTGCCTCAGCTCATATCATGACACTCTTAGCTTTTTTCAGTGAAATCATTCGCATCCTAATACAGTTTACTTTCTCCAGAGGAAAAAACGCTGATGACCATTTACACTAATTAAATGAGAGAACTGAAATCACACACACATTTTAAGAAGTATTTTATATGCATCCATTATCAGCGGTTATCATCAGAGACCGGCCTGGACGAAGAGCGTACTGTCACCACCAAAGTGTTTCGTAGACGTCTCATTCTCAAGGTATCTGCCTGCTAAACTGCAGGGTGGTCAGGTTAAGATCTGATTTTGGTGTAGCTGGTGGACTGAATCTAAATCATTCGATCAGAAATGTTTTTACGTCATTTGGTTCTTGCAGTGTACTGTTTCCATTTCCTTGTGCTTACAGGTGCTTGGTTTGGGGTTATTATGCATTGCTTGTGTGATAGATACACGTGCACATAGAGGAGTGTGTTTCTACTAATGTTTGTGTGATTTCTAAAGGTGGTGATGATGAGCATGAAGGCATGTTGGTTCATATTTAAAGTTCCAGCTTTGCTTGCAGGTTCACATGACTGCTCTGGGTGTGTGTAAATGCGCTTGTAGGTGTGGTGTGCTGCTTTTGAAGGTGTCCTGGATCTGTTGTGTTTGCATATTGAACTAAGTGATATCTTGCTTTAGGGAGAGGAGGCACGCAACATTCCTGGCGAGTCAGTTTCAGAGGAACAGTTTATTGATGAAGATGGAAACATCATCACCAGAAAAGTAACTCCATTGTTCCCTTTGTTTTATTTTCTCTTACTCTTTTATCTGTTTCTGATTTTATGACATATTTTACTTCCTTAGGTTGCTTGTAGTTTTGTAGCTTTGCCTTTTCAGAGCTGATTTAGGGACAAAAGATTGAATACAACACATTTTCTTGCAGCTCACTCCTCCAATACCTTAACTGATTCTTCCCAGTCTTTCCTCACATTGCTTTGATTTCCCATGACAAGTATTCATGGTGACCTCTGACCTTCAATACCCATCTACAGGTCATTCGAAAGGTGATTTGTCGTGTGGACACTCCCACTCCTGAAAACCAGGGCTTGGGGTCACAGGGAGACCCTGCCACCCTGGGGAAGAGCCATGTGCCCCTGGTCTCTGATATCCAAAGCCATCTCGCAACACATGCTGAGGTTTGCACAGTCTGTGTGGAGTTTTTCCTCTTTCCTTAAACTTATATTTGATTATATATGGGAAAATGGATCCAATGTTTGGCCAATAAAATGCTCACTACAATGAGAATGTTCCTCTCCCATGATTGTTTAGAAATATTGAAATTAAATATTTAAAATACTGTTCAAATGTTTGGGGTGGATACAATTTTTTGAAAATGTTTTTTGAAAGACTTCTCTTATGCTAACCAAGCCTGCATTTATTTGATCAATAATACAGTAATATTATTAAATATGATCATTTTAAATAACTGTTTTCTATTTTAATATATTCTAAAATCTAATTTATTTCTGATGGCAAAGCTGAATTTCTCCAGTCTTCAGTGTAACACGATCCTTCAGAAATCATTCTAATATGCTGATTTGGTGCTTAAGAAAAAATTCTTATTATCAATGTTGAAAACAGTTGTGCTGCTTAATATGGTTGTGGAAACTGTTCTACATTGTTATTAGGATGTTTTGATAAATGCAAAGTTCAAAAGAGCAGCATTTATTTGAAATAGAAATATTTGTAACATTATATTTCCAACTTTTTGACCAATTTAATGCATTCTTGCCTAAATAAAAGTATTTATTTCTTTAAAAAATGTACTAACCCAAACTTTAGTATATGTTATCATAAAACAATAATGTTGTAGAAAATAGTACAGTTTTGATACTAGAAATCCTCATTATATCCGCACAGACTGGAGACCAGAAATACCTAATGTTTTTGTTGTTGGGAATTTGTAGGTTTATTAAAATTCTTCAATTATTTATAAATTAAAAATGTTTAGTAAGACATTATGTATCACATAGTTATCTTTTCTGTTCGTACAGAAGCTAATGTACATAATTCTTCAGCTGTCTTCCCTCTAACATTCAACTTGTCTTCTCTTTCTTTTCCTCCCCTTTTATCCTTTTTTGTCTTCCTTCCAGCTTAACTCAACTGAACTACTTGAACTGTTTAATATTAACTTCCTGTCACTGGTTACTTATAGGCTGTTATATAATGATGTGTCTGGCTATTTTCAGGGTGATGTGTTGATTCTAAACTATAATTCATTCCTTAAAGATTTGTAAAAAAAAAAAAAAGAAAGTCTGTATCTTTGATACAGATTGTTCTTTCTCTTTATGTGTAAACAGGGAGACGTTTCCAAGGTGAGGAAGAAGGAAGAAAAGCGTTCAGAAAGAAAAGATTATTCATAAATGTGGCTTCGCGACTATAGACAGGTACAACGCTTCAAATAGCTCTCTGTTTATTATTGTTATTATTTATATTGTTAATTATTCTCTGTGCATTATTCAAAAGTCTGGGGCCAGTATAATGTTACAGAAGGTTTTATTTTATTATTTCAAATAAATGCTATTATTTTGAACTTTCTGTCTCATCAAAGAATCCTGAAAAAAGGATTGAGCATATTAAATTGATTTCTGAAGGATCTTGTGACAGTGAAGACGGGAGTAATGACTGCTGAAAATTCAGCTTTGCCATCACAGGAATAAATTACATTTAAAAACGTATTACAATAGAAAACAGTTATTGTTCATTGTAACAATATTTCACAATATTACTGATTTTAATGAAGTTTTAATCAAATAATGCCGCCTTGGTGAACATAAGAGACCCAAATTTTAACATTACCATTAGACAATTTCCCAATACATTTTTAATACAGTTTTAACAATTACTTTCTTATATGGTCTGTTTTGTGTCTCTCAAGGTTTGCAGTTATATTTTCGATCCGTTTCCTGAGCAGTGGGACCACAAGTGCTGAAAAGAGACATTTGGCCTGAAAAGACATCTACAGCTTCCACTCTGAAACGCATGGTCTTCAAAGAGACAGAACTTTTTGACCTATCCGCTTGCGCATGAGCATGCATCACACTGCTGACACACTTCCTGTTCCAAGGGGGTCTTGATGAATTCTACTTCCTGAAATGGGTCCCGGTGAATTCTGCTTCCTCTCTGTGTTGGGTCCTATGTAATTCTACTTACTCTTTCTGGGGGACCTGCGAGATTACACTTCATTCTTCTTGATGGTTAATACCTGCGCTGATCTGGACCATCAGGAATTCAGAAACTGTTTTGTGTGCCATGAATATCAGATGAATAAATGCAAGGGGTATATTCAAAAGACCTCTTAAACTCCAAACCGTATACTCACACAAATTTCCCTGTGACCAAAGATGGCACAAAAGCTCTTTTTCGTGTTTTAGAGGGAAAAAAAACAATAGATGCTGTTGAACCACACCTTATATTCGCCTTACACGTTACCGTGGACCCATGACGTCAGGAGGAGGATCCCTGTGTTTTACTTTTCTTAATTTATAAAACTAAAATAAATTATGTGGTGGACTTTTCTGTACATAAATCACAATATGTAAAAAATGAAATAACATTTAGTAGTTAGGTTTAGCGAGAGCACCGCAAACATACACTTTACAAGTGCTTTTGACATTTTAAAGATAGTGAAACTTTACATGCTCTTGTATAATTAATTACTATAGCAGGTATGTTTGTATATGAGAAAAGTTGGTTCGGTTTTCAGGGGACGTTTCCTTAAAATCCTCTGCGAATTTCAACAATTCCCAAAATGGGAATTTATAGAAGTCATACAGAGGACTAATATTTTGATGCATGCAGTTCACCTTATTTTAAGAACCTTTTTTCTAAGTTTGCAAAACTGTATTTAAAGAGACGAATAAGAAAATACTTTTTCTTGTGTACACATACAACTCTAACATGTCTCAACTTTTATATTCCAAAATGTCACCCTACAAGTATCCATCGTGTAGAAACGGTTAAGTGTGACAAGCTCTAACCAGACTGCTTCCTTAGGAAGGTTCAGTGTAGTGTCCGTTATCTTTCATATGGAAGACATCGTCTGCTGATGTTAGCCTGAGCGCTGCAAGTAAGAGGTGTTCAGAATGTACATGCTAGTAAATCAGCATTTCTGTTCAACTATCACTGTGTCATGTGTATTGGCTGTACAATGTAGAGGTCTCTCTTTGTCTTAAGGCTGTTTGTATTCATTATAGGAATGTCTTCATTTTTTCTTTCTTTTTGATTGCTGAGGTTTTAAAATAAAATGTTGGCATTTTGTTTCAGGTTAAGTGAACATTTAACATTTTCGTCTGGAGTCACACTTACTTGTATGGGATGTCTTTAGACCTTTATTACTTGTAGATTTAATATCTTATGTATTACAAATGACACACACTGAATGGTCATTATAATTTTAAGTATTACAAGAAATTGTTTCCAGTTTCAGAATTGTGTGATATATTTTAGACCAGCGAGTCAGTGTGTTGCAGTGTTCTGCATCGGTTTTGATAATGTAGAATTTTTCTTTAGCGATTACTTTCTGTTTGTTCGTTTGTTTGTTTTGTTTTCCTCCAATAGAGTCTTTTTAGCTTATGGTGTGTATGGTGTGAAAAATCCTTTAGTGTGCTGAATTTTGCTATTGCAATGAGATCTGAAAGACCTAGGAAACTAGGTCGTGATGGGGTGTGGTTCTGCTTCCCTGTTACATGTCAATCAAACTGTGGGAGGGGCCTGACACGGTCCAATTGGTTGATTTTGTTTAATATAATATGTTTTCACCTGAGCAACATTTTTGATGTACAATTCTTACAATGAGTGAAGCCATTTAAATGTAACTATAATAGCACTTTGGTTATTGGAGGTCTTCTCTTTTAGAAACTAGCAGCTATGATGCCACCATAATGTTTCAAATGTCTTACAAAAATCTGATTAAAAAATAAAATATATGCATTGATTTTGCAAACCTATTCTTTTTTTTATTCACAGTTATTTCAGTGTTTTTATAATATTCATGTTATTTTTTTCAGTTTGTGCATTACATCAATTCAGTGTATTATAAATAATGTGTATCTATACACATAATGAGGTGTCATGAATTCTAATTATTTAAAATCAAATTTGAATATGATATTTTACAATATTTATGTAACACTATAACAACTCCGTTTAGAGCTGGATTCCTATAGTTTTAGCATTGAGAAAATGCCCTAATGATTTAATTTTATCTTTTAACGGAAATGCATTGATTTTGCAAACCTATTCTTTTTTTTATTCACAGTTATTTGAGTGTTTTTATAATATTAAATGTTATTTTTTTCAGTTTGTGCATTACATCAATTCAGTGTATTATAAATAATGTGTATCTATATACATAATGAGGTGTCATGAATTCTAATAATTTAAAATCAAATTTGAATATGATATTTTACAATATTTATGTAACACTATAACAACTCCGTTTAGAGCTGGATTCCTATAGTTTTAGCATTGAGAAAATGCCCTAATGATTTAATTTTATCTTTTAACGGACTACATATATGCTTCCTTTGTAGAATGAAGTAAGTTGCTCAGTGTTCTTGGAAATTTGTGAAAAAAGGTTTTGCATTTCTCTTGTAGTGCCTCAAATAGATGCTAGCTTCTCTATAAACGTTGCTTATTATATCATTACTGAAAGAAGAACCATGAAAACCTGCTGAGCGAGCCAGCCATGATTTATCATCTGTGACATTTTGACACTGTATGAATTTAAACTAAACATGCATTGTCTCTGTATAAAACACATTACAAGTGATAATGGTCACCTTTTTATTGTATAGAAATATTACATCTCTGTAACCTTGTACACTGAGTTTATTGAAGACAGTCATACTGTTAAGTCAAAGTCAAATAAGTTTGTTTCTTCTCTCCAGTGTGGCAGTAGGAAAGGTGTCACAGTGCAGAACAAACAGTCTCCAAAATGTATTTGGACGTTTAATAATGTATGAATTTCACTTCATTGCGTTTGATAACAAAATATCAAAATAAGTAGAATTTGCAAACAAATGAAGCTAGACCACAGATATAGTTTATCTGTTTTACAGCCGATAAGTGTCCAAATACCATATTAATTTTGAATGTATAGCTATTGTTTTATCATTCAATATCTAACGAATTTATGTTAAAGGTTTTGCTCTACAAGTGTGCTTGTGTTTTATTTTTTACATACATTTACTTGGTTTAATATTTTGCTATTGAGCAATGACATTCATACATTTGTGTCAGCTTAAATGTCAGAATATTTTTCAGGATCACTGTATAACACAAACATTATCATATACAATTGAGGTACCAGAAAAGCACTTTAACAGATTAACAGTAAAATAAGTGGTCTATATGAATCAAATGAAACATACGAATAAAGACATGACCTGAATATGCAAATCTTCACACATATCGTTGTAAAATGATTGAGATGCATAAAAATCATCGAAGGACATAGTTGAACTCTTCAGTTATTTGGGTTAGTTATTTTGGGTGTGATTTCTACATTTTGACAAGTCATGACGATGATGGATCGCATTCATACTTAATGAGATTTGGCTGTAGAGTACCTACTCTTTTAGCGCTCGTTACTTAATGAAATTAAGTACCTATTCATTGAGTAGGCGGTTTCGGACGCAGCCACTGACTCGCCATCTCCACATGGATGTGCCTTTAATAGAAATTCACCTTTTCATATAGACTACAAAATGAAAGAATATTACAAAATCAAGTGGGCGAGTTTTCCTTATATTTTATTGTTCATATAAAAATTATAATAACCTGTTTTGGTTATATTTACTATTAATTGCATTGTTCACCTTCTCTGGTTTAAGAAGTGATTATGTTGGTATTCTTGTGTGGAAAAAAACAACAACATGCAAGCACTGTCACCAGCAGCAAGTTTAGTTTTACTTTTCTTTTTTTGTTTTCATTTTGAAAAGCTTATCTTTGCTGTTTACCTCACATTATGCTATGGAGGCTCTCTCTTTTTTCTTTTTTTTTATTCCTCAGTGTTTGCTAATTCATTACGTTCAACGTTCTGTAATTTATTAGTCATTATATAGCCTACACTCTTAAAAATAAAGGTGCTTCACGATGCCGTAGAAGAACCTTTTTGTCTAAATGGTTCCATAAAGAACCTTTAACATCTGAAGAACCTTTCTGTTTCACAAAAGGTTCTTTGGGGCGAAAGAAGGTTCTTCAGATTATAAAAAGGTAAGAAAGAGATGGTTCTTTAAAGAACCTTTGACTGAATGGTTCTTTGTAGAACCAAAAATGGTTCTTCTATGGCATCGCTTGAAGAACCTTTTGAAGCACCTTTATTTTTAAGAGTGTAATACAGCGTGCAGGCCTATGAAATGTCTCATCTTATTCGTTTTTGTTAATAACGTTTTGTAAGCTAGTTTGCCATTGAATCTTAGTTTTAATGTTGTTGTGAATTTTAATAAAAAATAATGAATCATTCTTTTTTTTTTCGTCTTAAAAGGTGAAAGGTGTATAGATGTAAGCAAAACAGACAATTATATTTTATTGTAAAACCTAACAAGATCGTGAAATCAAAAGTGAAAGCATCTGAAGCCCGGCTTATAACATAGCAAAAGAGGAACAAAATTCACAAATAATACTACTGATGAAAAAGAACGGGTTGAATGTTAACTACTTTCGTTTCCATATAACTATAAACTATGATAAAAGTTCATCAGCATGCATTGATTAATAGCACGTTATAGCGGAAAAAAAAAAAACGTGCTCATGCAACCAACTGAGAAAGTTAATGGCAAAAGAGCGACCAGTGGAAAGAATGAGTCTGGAGAACTGAATTGTCCAGCTCCCTCTGTCAATGATCTAGCACCCCCTCAGCACCTGCGTTCAAAATAACTACGATAAAAGTTCATCAGCATGCATTGATTAATAGCACGTTATAACGAAAAAAAAAAAAAACGTGCTCATGCAACCAACTGAGAAAGTTAACGGCAAAAGAGCGACCAGTGGAAAGAATGAGTCTGGAGCACTGAATTGTCCAGCTCCCTCTGTCAATGATCTAGCACCCCCTCAGCACCTGCGTTCAAAATTATCTGGCACTGCCCCTGGTACATCCATGTATTTTTGAAAAGCAAAAATTAAGTTTGACATAAGGCGTTTACTGATTTACCACATGCTTTATCATCATCATGGTTTTAACGCAGAACGTGTTTTTGCACGTCTGATACTTTGCGTTACGCGAGTGGGGTTGTTTTTAGTAGTTTATATTTGAGGCCTGTGTCAGGCTGGGAAGTTGGCACTCTGAATATTTGGCTGTAATGCGTCAACATCTTGTATGTGAATCAGCCCTTCACTCAGACTATCTGCATTTGACAAAGAGCCAACACTCAAGTGTCACTGGAGAAACACTGACACTGATATCCAGTGTCATTTATGACCATCTTTAATGGTGGAAATTGATAGTGGCAGTGTTTTGCTTGTTGGTTGTGCAATTTCTTTACTGGGTCAAATGCATCTAATGCAGGATGTTGATATGCGTTTGACTACTTCTGGTGGATTTTAAATGTTTTTCATATTGCATAATAGGTTTTTATATTCTCATTGTCAATAATTAGGTTATAATTGCCTGTAGTTTCTTTGTAATTGGTATTTGTGATCTAAAATATGGTAGTTTCGAAATCCTGTTTGAAGATCTTGTTAATTTAGTGTGATTTGCTTGGTTACTGAAATGCATGGAAAGATGATGTTATTTAGTTTTCCAAGAGAAATCTCCAAGAATAATTGCCCTTTTCATATGCCAGCATGTTTTGTTTATTTTTCTACAGCAAGCGCGTGCAGAACAAGAAGAGGAGTTCATCTCCAACACTTTATTTAAGAAGATTCAGGCTCTGCAAAAGGAGAAAGAGACCCTCGCCGTCAACTATGAGAAAGAAGAGGAGTTCCTTACCAATGACTTGTCCAGGAAGCTCATGCAGGTGAGAAACTTTAGAAGGAAAGAGCCCATCAGTGGCGTTTGAGGTCAGGGGTGGGAAATGTGATCGCTTGCCCTTAGAATAATCCCTAAGTGTAACTTTCACGTTGACGTACAGTACATATGTCATTACAAAGTTATTGTTCAACAGCTTTCTTATATAATGTTGAGTTTTGATTGCCGCTGGAGGTAAGCAAAAAACGGTAGCTGATTAAACTTAATAAAAGATTGTTTTGGTGATGTGCTCATTACTGAATCTGGCTCCTCTGCTTCGACCAGATGACATTTTTATGGTGCGTGTGTTTAGTAGGTGTGCTGTATTGTGTGGAGGAGTAGCAAGAGAGATGTACTAATGAGTCATGCCAACTATATATTTACACTACTGTTCAAAAGTTTGGGGTCGGTAGGTTTTTAATAATGGTTTTGAAAGAAGACTTGTTTGCTTACCAAGTAAAATATAGTAATTTCCATTGTCATTTTTTTTAAATGGCAAAGCTAAATTTTCAGCATCATTACTTCAATCTACAGTGTCACATGATCCTTCAGAAATCATTCTAAAATGCTGCTCAAGAAACAATTATTTTTGTCAGATTTGAAACAGTGCTGTTGTGGAATGTTGTCAGTAATTCTTTTAAAGTTCTAAGGAACAGCATTAATTTGAAATAGAAATTATTAGTAACTTTGTCAATGTCTTTACTGCCTTTACTGTTTGATAAATTGTGTTCTTAGTGTTAGTATTAATTTCTTTAAAAAATTACTGACCCCTAACTTTTGAACAGTAGTGCTAAAAATATAATATATGCAGGCAAAACTCAACAATTAAAGTGTGGCCCAGTATGGTAGAGTTTTAAACCAGTTGTTTTAGACCAGAATAGTCTCTTATCCTTTTACACTCATCTCTTGCTCATTGACTATATATATATATATATATATATATATATTTTGTATGGCTTGCAAACATTTGTTTTTCTGTGATTCTATTGAATTTTGAACATGGTTGCAAATTGATCTGGTTAAAATATGTTGCTACGGTAATGCAACACAAGCAAATATGCATGAGCATTCAAAATGGTTACGATGAAGAATTAATTATCGTGTTATCGTTTGTAAGGACACCAGGAAAAAAATGTCACACCAAAACGTCACTTTGAATCACAGCTCATTTGGGGTGCCCATCGTGTTTAGATTTGGGTGTGTTGCATCCGTTTTACTTTTATTCTCTTATATGCTTTCTTTCTTTTTCAGCTTCAGCATGAAAAGGCAGAGTTGGAGCAGCATTTGGAGCAAGAGCAGGAATTCCAGGTCAATAAACTGATGAAGAAGATCAAAAAGCTGGAGAACGACACCATCTCTAAACAGCTCACTCTAGAGCAGGTACCTTCTTTAAGCATCCTGCTGTAGAACAGGATCGTTTCCAAACCACTCATTCTTGAATTCCCACAATATATTGCACAAATTTTCAAAGCAGTTGGTGTCTCCAAGTACCTAGTTTTTTGTTGTTTTGGGCATCTGCCAGTACCTGGCTCTGGAACACCGATTCAGCAAATTTCTCAGATTAGAACAGGTTATTCTTGAGCAAACACATAATATAAACAGGGATGCACCGAAATGAAAATTCTTGGCTGAAGCCGAAACCGAACAAAATGAAGCACTGGGCCGAATACCGAACACGTTTTTTTCCCCCATGTGTTTTGCCCAAAATAAATTTCACCATTGCATAAATTAAATAGCCAAAATGTGCTTTATACTGTTTTGTCGTGCTTACAAAGAAAAAGTCAGTTACAAAACAACAATTGAAAAATATTTAACACTTAACATTTTTTTACGTTCTAGCAGACATTATACCAACAAAGCACAATTTAACTTAAAATAAGTTATTAATATAATATTTTTGGCCTTCAGACCCCCTTCTTGAATCAGGCATGTATTTTTTTTACTGTACAAATAAAAGCAGCCTTGCTGAGCAGAAGAGACTTCTTTTAAAACATTAAAAAATATTACAGATCCCAATTTGAACACTATGTCTGAATGTTATAATAAATGCATTAAAGGGGTCATAGGATGCCCTTTTTCCACAAGTTGATATGATTCTTTAGGGTCTTAATGAAAAGTCTGTAACATAGTTTGGTTAAAATTTCTCAATTGTAGTGTAAAAAACAAATTTTTTTACCGTCAAAAACAGCTCTTTTCAGATCAAGCCGTTTTTGTAGCATTTTCCTTTAAATGTTAATGAGCTCTGCTGACCCCGTCCCTCTCTTCCGAGCTGCTCTCAGAGAGACTGTTTACTTTATTCATCGTGAAACTTGTTAATTAGCACATTATTAGGAAAGGCGATTTGCAAAGATTCATTACAAAACATTATACTCACTACTTCTGTAGATGAGGCTGGATCATGAATGATTCGCTCGAACATAGACGCATTTATGTAGATCGGGGGCGCATTCCCTTCAGAAACAAATGTAATCCACTGCAAGTTCAGCGGCTCAGATGTCAGGAGTAAATGACGACTGCTATGTTCATTATTACATCCAACAACAGAACACCTCAATCGCTTAGGAGTCATTCTTGTCTACATCTGCTCCAGCGGTGAAACAATGGTGGACTGATGACAGCTCACTCAGGGCGGGTCTAAGGTAAAACACCAGTCCAGTCTGTGCTGAAACGCTACTGTCAATCAAACTGTTGTGGGAGGGGCCTGTCTGTGTGACGTCTGAGATCGGCTCGATTTGAGAAAGGGGAAAACATTTAACGAGATTAACAAAAAAAACTCTTGGTGGATTTTTATCATTATAGGGTGGTTGTGTGTACACACTACCAACACACATTTCAGTTCAAACAACTTGTAAGAGTTCATGTAGCATCCTATGACCCCTTTAACAGAGCTGTTGTAATTATTATTATCATTTCTATTTTATTTTACAGAACAACAGTAAAATTACAACAATACTAACATTTATGAATGTTGTAGTTCTTGCATTTTCTCAACTTTTATTTTGGCGGAAACACGCAGGAAGACCTCAATGCTTTTTGTTGACAACAGCAGATTTATAAACGAGTCTCATTATGAATACATCACACGTATTGCATTGTCACATGCATTGTAAAAATTCATAAAAATATAACTGAGCAACTGACGAGTAACACTGGTTCAACGCAGATTTTCCTTGCGCTTTGGACTTTGAACCCTGGTTAACAAGCAGATCCGCCGCAAGTTCGTGCAGCGCTGTCAGAATACATGCAATTCGTGTGAAAACATAACGTTCTGCAGTTTATTTACTAATTGTTTACGGCCATTTCACGATTTCAATCATCATACAGTAACCAGCAACAATCACCCCTTCCTCTTCTTATCGAAGACATGCGCTGCAGTACTAAACAGTCTCTCGCTGTCGGTGCTTGTAATGATTTTTGCATCTTTCTTGGACCGTTTTAAATGCTTCCACACTGCTGACATGTTTGTTGCATTATACTCTACTGTGGTTGCTATTTGATTGCGTCACATCATTGTTCGGTGCAATTTATTCGGTCTTTTTGCTTATTTGGCCGAACACCAAAACTCTTTTTTTTTGCTATTTTTGTCCGAATAATTTCGGTTGCCGAACATTCGGTGCATCCCTAAATATAAATGCATACATTTGTATTTATGGAAAGTCCCAGAGTTATTATTATATCCCAACATATTTACCTAACAACATGCATTCTTTTAAAACCATGGCATTGTTTTATTATTTGCACGAAATATATGCAGCTCCGACGTGAGAAGATTGATCTGGAAAACACTCTGGAACAAGAGCAGGAGGCACTAGTCAACCGGCTTTGGAAGCGCATGGACAAACTTGAGGCAGAGAAAAGGTAATGTCCCTCGTGATCCGGTCTGTCTGTCTTAATGCGTTTAATGTCTTCTACAAATCTTTGTACATGTCTACAAACACTTGATCAGATGATTTTTTCCCCCCCTCTTCATTCTGATTGGCAGGATTCTGCAGGAGAAGCTTGACCAGCCAGTGTCAGCCCCGCCCTCTCCACGTGAAGTTTCCATGGAGATTGACTCTCCGGAGAACATGATGCGACACATCCGCTTCCTCAAGAGTGAAGTGGAGAGGCTCAAACGCAGCCTTCGCACTACAGAGCTTCAGCGTGAGTCCTTGTCTCATTACGCACTCCTGCACAGCCTCTCTGCCATTATACTACAGCCGGAGGCAAACAAACTGTACTGCAAATTGGAATACAGCCATTGTATTAATCTTAACAGTAGCTCATGGTGTCCATACTATATACAGTTCCACATTAGAATTAGTACTTCCCAATTAGTAGTACATTGTACCAAAAACTAATTGGGCTCCTAGAATAGTAAATACATGGTTTTATTTTGTAGTAGAGGTATGTGTAGTACAATACAGCCATAGTTTGTAGCACAGTATAGTGAGTTACACACATTAGTTTAATTCTTAGCTTGAATACTTTAAATTGTGTTATGGCCACTAGAGAGAGACATCTCCATTTACATTACAGTAAGATAACCACAGCTTTATTCTAGCTCATGGTATCACTCTCATCAAAGCTTTAATCAGGGATTAACACAGCAGTGCAGTATATATATATATATATATATATATATATATATATATTAGTTATA